GGATTTGACTTAAGTCATACCTGAATTGCCTAGTGGTTTCCCCTACATCCTCCAATTTAAATCTGAATTCTGTAATAAGGAGCTCATGGTCTGAGCCACGGTCAGCTTCCGGTCTTGATTTTGCTTCTACATTGTCAGCTACAAAGAATATAATCAATTCGATTCCTCATCTTAATGTATCTTTTTACACATATCAATCAATTAATTAGTTTAAGAGCTATTGTAACACTAAGACTTTTTAACATTCTTCAAATCAACCTTACTTTATGGTATCAAATTTATCTTGTATAGCAATGGACAGAATTGACTAATATTTTATTTCTATATCAATATTAATCTGTGAGATTGATACCTTTTAGCTTCTCATATAAAGCTTTGTTAGGTTTTGATTTCAAAGTTATGCTTCATAAAATTAACTAGAAATATTTTGTTATTTTACTCTGCTCTAGAGCAGATTGTAGAGCACTGGGGATTTGAGCATATCAGTCACAAAGCCCTCTCGAGATGCATCCATGTAACAACAGTTTTACCACTCATTGCTTTCCTTTTCATTTTTTATGATTTTTTTCCCTGAATAAATTTCAAGAGTTTATATTTTCTGACAATATTATTCATTTAACTAAGAATTTCCAATTCCTTAATATAGAGGAAGGCTAATTATTAGTTTGTGTAACAGTCCAGAGAGCCTCTTGATGAAAGTGAAAGAGGAGAGTGACAAAGTTGGCTTAAAACTCAATATTCAACAAAATAAGATCATGGCATCCGGTCCTCACTTCATGGCAAATAGATGGAGAAAAAATGGAAACGGTAACAGACTTTATTTTCTTGGGCTCCAAAATCACTGCAGATAGTGATTGCAGCCATGAAATTAAAAGACACTTGCTCCTTGGAAGAAAAGCTATGACCAACCATACTAAAAAGCAGAGACACCACTTTGGTGACAAAGATCCATACAGTCAAAGGTATGCTTTTTCCAGTGGTCATGTATGGATGTGAGAGCTGGACTATAAAGAAAGCTGAGTGCCAAAGAACTGATGCTCTTGAACTGGAGAAGACTCTTGAGAGTCCCTTGGACAGCAAGGAGATCCAACAGTCAATTCTAAAGGAAATCAGTTCTGAATATTCATTGGAAGAACTGTTGCTGAAGCTGAAACTCCAATACTTTGGCCACCTGATTCGAAGAGCTGACTCATTTGAAAAGACCCTGATGCTGAGAAAGATTGAGGGCAGGAGGAGAAGGGGATGACAGAGGATGAGATGGTTGGATGGCATCACTGACTCAATGGACATGAGTTTGAGTAAGGTCCAGGAGACAGTGAAGGACAGAGAAGCTTGGCGTGTTGCAGTCCTTGGGGTTGTAACCATTCGGACATGACTGGGCAACTAAACAGAACTAAAGTAACTAAACTAACCAAGCAACTAAAGAGCGACAACAACCAGTTATTTTTGCTTTGCTGACCACACCATCTCCATCATAATCATTGGACTCAGTAGTTATAATCTAAAAACAGTGATAGATTTGAACATAGCTGTGTTCCAAGAGAACTTTCTTTACAAAAACAAGCATCAGCCAAGGTCTGTATACCTATGAGTTTCAGGGATCTCCGTACCTGTTTTCCCGTGCCAGTCTTACTCAGAAATCCCTAAACTGCCACCTCTTAACCTCTGCCAGATGTTTTTCTAGCTCAGGCACGAATAGGTCTCTATTTCTTGGTCTTGTCCTCGCCATCTCTTGTCCTCAAAGCCTGTGTCCTCCACGTGACCGAGCACATCAAGCTTTGGTCTGGTTCACTTCCCCTGGTCCTCTCTCACGCATCCTGATTCGCCTTTGAACTTCTTTGATCCCCCTCACAGAATTGTCTAAGTTGGCTTAGGCAGACATTCTCTTTCTCCCCTATCTGTGGGGTGCCCATGGACATTAAAACAGGACTTCCAAAGGCACACATCTGAAAGGAAAATGTTCTTTTGCCAGAGAATAATAAATCAGTTACTCTCCACAATCTATCCAGCTCAATGTCAGGGCAAGTTTTAGAGGAGGAATGAAGGGGAGAAAGAAATATCAGGAGGAAAAGGGAACAAAATGAAGACCAACAGTCGCATCCTTCCTTGTTGCCTCTGTTTATCTCCTTGTGAGCTCAGTCGCTCAGGCGTGTCTGACTCTTTGCGACCCCGTGGACCTTAGCCTGCTAGGCTCCTCTGTCCATGGGGTTCCCCAGGCAAGAACACTGGAGTGGATTGCCATTTCCTTCTCCAGGGGATCTGCACAACGCTGGGATCAAACCCATATGTCTTGCATCTCCGGTACTGGTAGATGGGTTCTTCACCACTCTGCCTCCCAGGAAGCCCCACGCATCCACTTTCCTCTTGCCGATAAGAGCCCAGGAAGGGAAGTGTTGAGGAAAACTGTCGTCATCAATCCCATGAGAAGAAGCAGCAGCAGGAGGCTCCCTGTGAGCAGGGAGTCAGCCCACTGCAGATTCCCCCTGCAGCCAGTTCCTTCTCCAGGAGCAGCTGAGGAAGCGCGCCTCCGTTCAGGCTGCCTTCAGCGCTGACCTGGAGCTCACGGGTGTGGTAAGAGTGGCTCAGTTCTGAAAGTCCAGTTCTGAATGGGAACTTCAGCCCCTCAGAAACAGGGCAGCTGCTGAGAGCTACAACTGGACCTTTGGAGAGACGAAGGGGGTGGAAGACGTTGAGTCTGTGTTTACCAGAAGCCTGGAGAAGGCAGAGGCAGCGGTGGCCACACAGGTGCGGTGCCCGCGGTCAGGGGAGCCCACGGCGCAGGGAAAAGGCCTCACAGGTCCGGGAGCACGCGCGCTCTGTGCTCCCGAGAGCACAGCTCCCGGCCGTGGCCAGGTGCCAGGATGAAGGGAGCCTGAGTTTTCACCTGCAGTCAAAGCACTTCCCTGTCCCAAGTACAATAGCTGAAATAGAGTTCTTCTGTGTACCTCGACAAGTAACTTTTCTTTTTTAAAAATTGAAATGATTTCTAATTGCATTTAATTCTCGCACTGACTGTCTGACCAGCTGTCCAGTATTTGCCAATCCACACCCTCTGTTAACGATCCTGCTCAGTCCTCACGCTTATCCTAAAGGCCCGTTCATTCCAGTTCTGTCTCCCGTGGACTCTCCATCTCTCTGCCCCACGTCTATACCCGAATGACCCTGTCTCTCTGCCCCACATCTATACCCGAGTGCCCCCATCTCTCTGCCCCACATCTATACCCGAGTGCCCCCGTCTCCCTGCCCCACGTCTATACCCGGGTGCCCCCGTCTCCCTGCCCCACATCTATGCCCGGGTGCCCCTGTCTCCCTGCCCCACGTTTATGCCCGAGTGCCCCCATCTCTCTGCCCCCACATCTATACCTGAATGACCCCGTCTCTCTGCCCCACATCTATGCCCGGGTGCCCCCGTCTCCCTGCCCCACGTCTATACCCGGGTGCCCCCGTCTCCCTCATCCTTGGCTCCCAGCCTCGCGGTGCCTGCAGCTATTGACCCTGCACTTTGCCCTCAGCTACCTTGTGATTGCACAGCTCTTGACATGACCCTTGCACATATTATGTTTATAATCAAATTATTTTATGTAATCTCCACTCTCATTTTTCTCAGAGAAGGTCTTCCAAGCTCCCTTCTGAATGGAACACTAATTTCTTAAAATTACATTGCTCACAATGGAAACTATCTTTGCCTGTAAAAACTTTCTTCAGTATAATGCAGTCACCACGCTTTGAGTCTCAGACTTTACAGTTGGACTTTCTTTGGGCAAATCTGAGGTATAATTAGAGCAGGCCCCTCATTTGACTTTGACCTTTGGGATCTTGATGTGGTCCCTGTTACTGTTACCTTAATACATACCCTTGCCAGGTTCTGACTTCCACAGGTAAGTCTTAATCAAAACTTAGTATTCAGTGTTCCAGTTTCTAAGGCTCCGTTGGGGCATTTACTTCTAAAATCCTTATATGGTATGACAGTTCAAAATGGAAACGCTGAGAACCTGGGTTAACATACAAGTTCTATCACATTCTGTGTGTCCTTGGGGGAAATCTCTTTTTTTCTGCAAATGGAGATGATAAAAAAAACCCACGTGATGTTGTACTATAAATAAATTAGGAATCTTGGCATAGACATTATCCTAAAAGATTTAAAGGGGGAATGTGCAATTAAAGAGCTACGTGTGGAAATTTTGGCACTGTAAAGAGAAATTTAAAATAAAAATGAGTCTCAACCCACTGGTGAAATTTAACCCAAGCTAACAAGCCAGTCACGCTGATGAGGGTACATAGAATGGGAAGCTTCTAACTGAAACCTTCAGATCATTGTTTCAAAAACACAGGATATTTTAGCATAACGAAGAGACTCGCTGTGGAGTCAGAGGATATTAGAACTCAAGCAACAGGGTCGACGCTGGCGGATTCCGCCTTGCCTGCTCAGATTATTGGCTTCTAGCAGGATGCATTTTCATAGTCCCCTAGCCACATTTTCCAGAACATCCTCCTCTCTTTGTTCCTGAGCTAAACTCTCACATTCACGGAGGGTCCTAAGTCTAAGTCACCCCCATCTGGCTTCCTTCAACCTGCTATACAATGCCATGATGCGTGATGAGGATTCAGACGTTATTCCTGCCTTGGAAATAAGTTTATCTGTACCGTTTTTCTTGATCCCATATACATGCATTAATGCGCGATGTGTGCTTTTCTTTCTGACTTCCTTCACTTTCTGTGACTGACTCTGGGTCCATCCACATCTCCGCAAATGGCTGACATACATACACCATCCTGTATAAAGCAGTGAGCTGGTGGGAACCTGCCGTAACGCACGGGAAGCTCAGCTCGGGGTTTCGTGATGACCCAGCGGGGCGGGAAGGGAGGGCGGTTGGGAGAGGCCCGGGGGGAGGGGTACATGTATACACACAGTTGATCCCCTTCTCTGCAGAGTAGCGACTAAACACACTGTAAAGAAATTAACACTGCAACTGAAGCTAATAGCTCTGAAAAATAAGCATTCAGACTTTAGACTCGGGCAGGTCTGCGTTTGGACCCTTGTTCTCCCAAGGGTCTATCTGCCACAGGGCCACCGGCGATGAAGCAAGAGGCCTCAGCGTTTGAAGCTCCCCGTCCCGCTCAGGGTGGCACAGGACTCCTCCACCCCCAAGGTCGGTGTGAGGGGTAGCGGATGGTCTTCCCTGGTGGTTCCGGCAGTAAAGGGCCTGCCTGCAATGCAGAAGACCAGGTCCCTCGGTCGGGAAGATCTGAAGAAGGGGATGGCAAAAACACTCCAGTATTTCATGGACAGAGGAGCCTGGTGGGCTATAGTCCATGGGGTTGCCAAGGACTAAGTGACTAAACCTTTCACTATTTCACTTCTCCCCACTTAGCACCTAAGGTGTGCTCAATAAAAAAGAAGCCAGAAACTCCATTAGCTGCTTAAGATGTTAAATTAAAAAAAATGGTGGTGTTGAATTTCTTTAAGGCAACATTTCATTTAAAAGTGAGCATCTCTGGTGTAAAAGGATACTTTAGATCAGCACTTCTTTCCCGTCCACCGTGACCAGGGTCACGACGCTCCTTGTTTAGTCAGTACTTGGTCATCATGTTTTAGCCTCATCTTTCTAATGCTCATGAAATTAGAGATTATTGAGACCGACAACACACATGCCATGTGGCCAGAAGTGAAGATCTACAGAAATATTGATCGCCTCCAGGAGCAGGAGGGGAGCGAGGGCAGGAGGCAGATGAAAGCGATGCAGAGGAACAAGGATATCCTCTGGAGCTTAATTCTTTCAAAAGAGCATTTCTTCCCCAGATTTGATGTAATTTCCCCATCTCAGAAACATGAGACCCCCGTGATCATGCTGATGTTCATTTTTACTGTCTCCATTAATCATATTAACTAGATAATTGCTGAGCGCAGAGGCTACGGACCTGGAATCATCTGATCCATGAAATCAGCCGCACCCATAATTCAGCTAATAAAACCACAGAAGTGGAGAGAAAACAGTTCCATTAATTTGTCTCTGTGAATTCCACATCTTGGCTTCAATTTGCATCGCATTGAGCAGCACTTTTCAAGTGCAAGTACACATCCTCTGGGGGTTGTGTGCTAAGAAAATGGGAAGTCAGAGGATAAACATGGCATATTAATTACTTAATTCTTTCATTCACTCAACAAACATTTACCAAGTATTACTCCATGCCAGGTACTGCCTAGGCCCCGGAGATTCAGCAAGGAAGAAATGAGTCACAATTCCAGTTATCCTTGGTGTTTGTAGAATAGTGCTGTGTTAGATAGTAAAGTGATGGTCACACAGGTCTGGCCACAGTGTGGAGGTATTCAAAGACTTGGTGGAAAAGTCAGTTAAGTGGGGATAAACTCAAGTGTTTTTACAACTTTTAAAACAGAATATGTATTTATTTATTTGGCTGTGCTGGGTCTTAGTTGGACTTCCCTGATGGCTCAGGTGGTAAAGAATCTGCCTGCAATGCAGGAGACCTGGGTCGGGAAGATCCCCTAGAGAAGGAAATGGCACTCCAGTATTCCTTCCGGGAGAACTCCATGGACAGAGGAGCCTGACAGGCCACCAGTAATGGGGTTGCAAAGAGCTGGACATGACTGGCTCTTAGTTACAGCGTGGGGGGTCAAGTTTCCCAACCAAGGATGGATCCTGGCCCCCTGCACTGGGAGCAGAGAGTCTTAGCCACTGGACCACCAGGGAAGTCCCTACAATTTATTTTACGTTAAGCAATGTACATTGTTTTCTATTTCGTAAATCTATATATAAATTCTGTCTGCCCTCTGATAGAGGAGGGTAAGAGGCCTGTGCAGACTTCCTGATGGGTGGGACTGGCTGTGGGACAAGTGGGTCTTGCTCTGGGGGGTAAGGCCATGCTCAGTAAATGCTGAGTACAGTTTTCTGCCGATGGCCGGGGCCGTGCTCCCCCCCTGCCGTTTGGCCTTAGGCCAGACGATGGTAGGTGCGGGCTGCCTCCTCCCGAAGGACTTGGGCAGCTCTCCCTGCCTCCCAGGACTGCAGCCACCAGCGTCCCTGACCCCGGGGCAGGCTGCTGTCACCCAGGCGCTCGCCGGAGACTCCCACACACTCACGGGCACAACTGGCTCAGTCTCCGTGGGCTCACTGCTCCTTCCTCCTGGTCCTGGAGAGCACAGGGCTTTGTTTGTGCCCTCCAAGAGTCTCCATTTCCCCAGTCCTGTGGAAGTTCTGTAATCAAATCCTGCAGACCTGCAAACTCAGATTCCCTGGGGATTCCCAGTCCGTTTGCAGGCCCTAGACCTTTTCCAAGTGTGAGAACTTCTTTGGCAAAATGGTTCTCCAGAGCCCACCTAGCGTCTCTGCACTGGGGCTAAAGTGATCTCCCCCTAGAAGACTTAGGCCACACTCAGAGCCCTCAGGACTGCTGCTGCCAGAGCCTGTCCCGACGCAGGCTGCTGCTGACCCCACGGGAGACCCGCACACGGTCACAGGCAGGTCTGGCCCAGTCTCTTGTGCGGGTCACTTGTTCTTCCCCTGACCTAAGGAGCCTCTTGATGAAGGTGAAAGAGGAGAGTGAAAAAGCTGGCTTAAAACTCAACATTCAAAACACTAAGATCATGGCATCTAGTCCCATCATTTTTTCATGGCAAATAGATGGGGAAAACATGAAACAGTGACAGATTTTATTTTCTTGGGCTCCAAAATCAATGTGGACGGTGCCTGCAGCCATGAAATTAAAAGACACTTGCTCCTTGGAAGAAGAGCTATGACAAATCTAGACAGCATATTAAAAAGCAGAGACAGTACTTTGCCAACAAAGGTCTGTCTAGTCAAAGCTATGGTTTTTCCAGTGGTCATGTATGGATGTGAGAGTTGGACCATAAAGAAAGCTGAACACTGAAGAATTGATGGTTTTGGACTGTGGTGTAGGAGAAGACTCTTGAGAGTCCCTTGGACTGCAAGGAGATCCAACAAGTCCATCCTAAAGGAAATCAGTCCTGAATATTCATTGGAAGGACTGATGCTGAAGCTGAAGCTCCAATATTTTGGCCAACTGATGAGAAGAACTGATTCACTGGAAAAGACCCTGATGCTGGGAAAGACTGAGAGCAGGAGGAAAAGGGGTGGCAGAGGATCAGATCATTGGATCAGATCATTGGATAGCACCACCGACTCGATGGACATGAGTCTGAGCAAACTCTGGGAGATAGTGAAGGGAAGCCTGCTGTGCTGCAGTCCATGGGGTCACAAACAGTCAGACACTACTGCAGGATTGATCAATAAAATATGTAAATTACTTTTTCCCAGCTTTATTGAGGTGTAATTGACCAATAAAATGTATATATTTAAAGTTTATATGTAACTTACTTTTTAAAGTAAAACATCATCACTTCAGTCTATTCCCCTTTCAGAGATAAGGGTTTGCTCTTCTCCATCCTTAGAGTCTTATTTGTGGAAATGTTTGGAAAGTACTGAAATATTCAAAGCTAGATAATGTTTGAGAATAGTACTTAAGGCTGGATTGATTATGTTACCGACTCCGCGCTTACTCTGCTCTCCCTACGACAGGTCTAGAGGAGGCGTTGAGGTAAGGAATACAACTTTAGACCGAGAAGATGGCAGACTAATTCTCAATATAAAAGTAAGGGGGATCTGGCATCTTAAGGGCTCTGAATGCCAAGTTCTTTTGTGGACCAGAGATGGGGGAGGTGAGGAAACAGAGTGAAAAGGCCTTTAATCTTGCAAGTATCTCCTGGAACGGCAGCCTTCAAGCAGGGGCATGTGTTAATTCCTTTCTTCCTGCTATCCACTGGTGGACGGGTTCTGAACAGAGGCAAGTTAGCTTCACAGTCAGGCAGAAGGGCAGGATGCTCCGAGGCTGGCCATTATGTGTGATTATAATAACAAAAGCAACGGAAAGCAAGTCAAAGAAACAGTTCCAACATGGAGTGAGAATTGATTTCTCCCTGCAACAATTACATCTTCAGGAGCTTTTTTTTTTTTTTTTTGGTGAAACTGTCCTGAGCCACCTCTACATAGGGTGACAGCAAAAAACCATGATCTTGGCTTGATCAATCACCTCCTGTTTGAATATCTCACCTGGCAGGTGCTGCTTCTTTCATAAAGTGTACCTCTTAGCCTTTTGCAAAATACACTGGAGTTTGTTGTCATTGTTGCTATTATCCTGTCCTTGGTTTTCCCAAACTCTACACAAGGATAGGATTTGGTGTTGTCCACACACATATCTTGGGCTTCCCTGGTGGCTCAGAGGTTAAAGCCTCTGCCTGCAATGTGGGAGACCTGGGTTCAATCCCTGGGTCGAGAAGATCCTCTGGAGAAGGAAATGGCAACCCAGTCCAGCATTCTTGCCTGGAGAATCCCATGGACGGAGGAGCCTGGTGGGCTACAGTCCACGGGGTCGCAAAGAGTCGAACACGACTGAGCGACTTCACTTTCACTTTCACGCATGTATCTTAGGGGCTTCCCAGGTGGTGCTAGTGGTAAAGAACCCACCTGCCAATGCAGGAGACATTAGAGACATGCGTTCCATCCCTGGGTCGGGAAGATCCCCTGAAAGAGGGCATGGCAACCCAGTCCAGCATTCTTGCCCGGGAAACCCCAAGGACAGAGGAGCCTGGTGGGCTGCAGTCCATGGGCTCACATAGAGTTAGACACGACTGAAGGGGCTCAGCATGCAGCGTGCGCCCATATATCTTTATTGGACACCTACCTGAACTAACTTTTGATGGGGAAACACATCAAGGCACGGTTACAAGATTCCTTTTTTTTTCCAGTAGCCCCATAGCTGAATGACATTCTGTAATCTCATTGTCAGTGTATAAACACAAATGCTATGCTTGGTCAGATTTAATATCAAGTAAACAACTTAAGTTTTAGATCCCCTCTATCTCCTCAAATAACAACTAAGTAGTGCCAACAGGTGGCTTCCTGAAGTCAGCACGACAATCCCCTTACCTCTGGGGCTGCTGAAATGCAAAGCGCATCCGTGTGGATGCCCCTGAGGAGGCATGGGCAGGCACACAGGAGAAGGGGAGGAAAGCAAAAGACTGAATATTTATCCGCTTCCTTCTTGTTGAGTCGCTCAGTCATGTCTGACCCTTTGCCACCCCAAGGACTGCAGCATGCCAGGCTCCTCTGTCCTCCGCCATCTCCCTGGGTTTTCTCAGATTCATGCCAACTGGTTGGTTATGCTTCTTAACCACCTCACACTCTGCTGCCCCCTTCTCCTTTTGCCTTCAGTCTTTCCCAGCATCAAGGTCTTTTCAAGGAGTTGGCTCTTTGCATTAGGTGGCCAAAGTATCAGAGCTTTAGCTTCAGCATAGGTCCTTCCAATGAATACTCAGATTGATTTCCTTTAGGACTGACTAGTTTGATCTCCTTTGATATTAAGTATACAAATGATAACTCTACCACAATATTTCATCTTGAGTCGAGTATAAATCAAAATGAGAAGAGTAAAATATTGTCTCAAAGCATAAAAATATTGTTTTTCTCCTTCCTTTATATGCGTATGTCAAGTGACAGAATTATCAGTCCATTCCTAGCATTAGAGGGGCACATATTTTATTTTATTTTTATTTTTTTCATTTATTTTCATTAGTTGGAAGTTAGTTACTTTACAATATTGTAGTGGTTTTTGCCATACATTGACATGAATCAGCCATGGACTTACATGTATTCTCCATCCCGATCCCCCCTCCCGCCTCCCTCCTCATCCCATCCCTCTGGGTCTTCCCAGTGCACCAGCCCTGAGCACTTGTCTCATGCATCCAACCTGGGCTGGTGATCTGTTTCACCCTTGATAGTATACTTGTTTCAGTGCTATTCTCTCAGAACATCCCACCCTCACCTTCTCCCACAGAGTCTAAAAGTCTGTTCTGTACATCTGTGTCTCTTTTTCTGTTTTGCATATTGGGTTATCGTTACCATCTTTTAAAATTCCATATATATGCATTAGTATACTGTATTGGTCTTTATCTTTCTGGCTTACTTCACTCTGTATAATGGGCTCCAGTTTCATCCATCTCATTAGAACTGATTCAAATGAATTCTTTTTAATGGCTGAGTAATATTCAATGGTGTATATGTACCATAGCTTCCTTATCCATTCATCTGCTGATGGGCATCTAGGTTGCTTCCATGTCCAGGCAATTATAAACAGTGCTGTGATGAACACGCAAATTCGTGAAGCATTCCATATTTTTACATCATGACCAAGTGGGCTTTATCCCAGGAATGCAAGGATTCTTTAATATCCACAAATCAATCAATGTAATACACCACATTAACAGATTGAAAGATAAAAACCATGCGATTATCTCAATAGATGCAGAAAAAGCCTTTGACAAAATTCAACATCCATTTATGATTAAAACTCTCCAGAAAGCAGGCATAGAAGGAAGCTGGTATTAAAGGACGTTTACACCTTAAATACCCTTACCTGGAGCAGGTTTACCCTTGGCCTTCCAGGTATATGAGTCAGTAAACTCCCTATTTGGAACTGGGTTTCTGTCACTTGCAGCTATGAGTTCCTTCAAATACATGCTTTATGGAGACTAAAATTTGGTAGATAAGATGTAAAAAAAATAATTCATGATAAAAAGGATAATACCTCAAAAGATAGGTTAGGTGTGTGATAAGGATTCATATCAGCTGTGATGATGAGGAACACCTTCGTGAATCTTTGTATATGAATTAATATGTAACATTCTAGGGATCTAAAAGCTAACTTCAAAAGCTGTCATAAATGTACGTTGTTGAAACTAATTTAAAAGCAACATTTTAAATGAATCCCATTTAAAATAATGAAAGATGTTAGGCTGCATGTTACGGTGTCCCGAGGGATGGGCTCCGCGCTGGAGGGCTGCTGTTGCTGTTTACTCGCTAAGTCGTGTCCGATTCTTTGGGACACTCTGGACCGCCAGGCAATGAGGGAGGGTTACTTTCCTTCCAAACTACTGCAATCAAATTTCTTTTCTCCAATGTTCAGTTAGACTGTCCTTGCAAAGAAGTGAATTAGTAATATAAATGCAACTGTTTAAGTGGAGAAGTTCTGCAAACAGCCCTTATTATTCATTTTGCTAACTTTGGTATGTTCCTAATGTTCTCTGCTTTGTAGTTTCTGAAAATGATTCTGGGCTGTGACTGCTAAACAGAAAACAATGGAGAACACTGGCAACCTCCTGTTGAAACTGATTCGACTGCCACGTTGGATAATTAATACATTTTAACACAATTTCTTCATACTCTCTGTCTACAACCATCAGATTAAAGAGGTACTTGCCAAAACTTCCTTTTTAGACTTCCTCTGGTTGTGAAAACCACATGTCCTGACAAAATTAAAACACAAAGGAAGATTAGTATGCAAAACAATGAAAGATGCAAACAAACAAAAACATTAATAAAACATGTCTCGCAGGCATTTTGCCTATCGTCAATGCACAGGAAACGCTAAATCAGTTTTTTTTTTCCACGCCCTATAAACTCATAGCGTTATTTCTAACCCTTGAAGTCAGCCAGACTCAGAGGGATGATAAAGAGGAGTTACCAGCAGTGATTTTCAAGATCCATTCTGGGATGGACAGAGGAGACATGACAAGGAGACTCGGGTCAGGCTTCATAGACATTAAAGGCCCCAAGTTCAGGGCTCTAACATCAGGCACAAATGAGACCATTCACTCAGTTACAGAGGGACACTGAAGGGTCGAAAGAAGGGAGCACTAAACTTTAAATTTGGTTCCTCAAACTGGACGACACTGCTCCATGAATTTATGTGTATGTGTGCTTTTAATTCAGAAATTTTATAATTGTCTTCTGTACAATACACATTTTCACTGAAAACTTTTTTGTTAAAAGCGTTAATTTGTTAAAAATGAATGTCAATCTATACCTTGAGTTTTATACTTCTGAGGGGAAATTCACTATGATGTTTAAAGTGATGCAATATTTTAAAGATGTAAATGGAGCAGACCTTTATTGCTCCTTAGATGCTCTGGTATTTAAGGACATTTATAGAAGATACAACCTTCGCTCATCTTTCTCCTTTTCTTTCCCCAGAGTTCTCAATTCTTGCCTTTGTAATTCTTGCCTTAACCCCCTTTTCTGGTTCCCAACTGATCTGGAGATTTTATGTGCTTTCCTTGGTACTGGGGCCTTAGTTTTCCTTATGCTTCCTTGTATTTTTTTCCCCCACAAGTTTAGCTTTTGGGGTTTTCTAAGGTAGGAATTTCCTGTGTGTGTGCTCAGTCATTCACTGTGTTCACCTCTTTGCAACCCCATGGACTGTGGCCTGCCAGGCCCCTCCATCCATGGGGTTCTCCAGGCAAGAGTACTGGAGTGGGCTGTCATTTCCTTCTCCAGGGGATCTTCCCAACCCAGGGATCAAACCACATCTTCTGTATCTCCTGCATTGGCAGGTGGATTCTTTACCAATGAGCCACCTGGCAATTTCCTGCTCTAGAGTTAAAGCCCCAACAAAACTTCTTTTTGCCCAAACACTTGGGCAACCCTTATTTTCTGTGAAGAAGGGTCCCGTAACATACTCCTCATCAAGGCATGGAGTTAATTGCCCACTTCCTGTTGGATACCTATGATAACTGGCTCTAAATTTAAATATGCCTCACTGACAGTTTGTAGTTTTTCCTTATCTTCAGTTTTGCTTTTCGTGGTTTCAGTTACCCATAGTCAATCCTGGTGTGAAAGTATTACATGGAAAGTTCTAGAAGTAAAAAATTCATGAGACTCACACTTCCTGCCATTCCGAGTAGTGTGATTAAACCTTGTCCTGCCCTGAATGTCTTGTCGTGGTCACATGTTCCTGGCGTCCAACCCTCCATGTCGTCAAAGCTCCACATCCCAGGGTCACCCGAAGCAGCTGTTCTTTCTTCTGACGTGTCCAGGAGGTCTACAACAGCGTAACGCTGCCTCACAGGGCTGACGTCGTCCTGCTCACTTCACCCCATCACAGACATTTTATGACCTCACATCCTCATAAGGAGGGTGAGTACAGTAAAACCAAGTATTCTGAGAGATAGAGAGCCACAGTCACATAACTGTCACTACAGCATACTGTTATAATTCTTTTATCAGTTTTTGTTGTTACCTATTGTGCCTAATGAATAAATTAAGCTCTATTACAGGTATGTGTGTGTAAGTCACTCAGTGGTGTCCTGCACCATGGAATACACCACAGAATAGGAGTGGGCTGCCACGCCCTCCCCAGGGGATCTTCCCGAGCCAGGGGTCAAACCTGCCTCTCTCATGTCTCCTACGTTGACAGGCAGGTTCTTTACCACTAGCGCCCCAGGGAAGTCCCCCATAGGTACGTAGATTTAGGGGACAACATGGTGCATACAAGGCTCAGTACCATCTACGGATTCTGGCATCTGCCTGGGTCTTAGATAAGCAGGATACTGTAAAGCGATACCTGTACTCGATGTACCATTTACAGACACTAGTCATTTTAGTTCTGTTTCGGGTCCCACTGAGACATAGGCTTCCCAGCTGGCTCGGTGGTAAAGAAACCGCTGCAATGCAGTAGACACAGGGGACACGGGTTTGACCCCTGGATCAGAAAGATCCCCTGGAGAAGGAAACAGCAATCTGCTCCAGTGTTCTTGCCAGAAGAATCCCATGACCAGAGGAGCCTGGCGGACTAGAGTCCACGGAGTCAGAGTCAGCACGACTGAGCGACCGAGCACTCACTGAGACGCGACGTAGACCAGTCTTCATGTGGTCAAAGTCAACATTAGAAAAACACACGTTTCTATTTTCTTAAGATTAAAACTGATTAAGGACAGAAGAGGCTTCTAGGTTCTCTGGGAGCACTGAGAGGAGGCTTGGCCAGCCCTGAGTCTCCTAAGGTGAGAGTGTTAGAATTTTCCAGGCAGGAACACTGCGGAGGGCAGCCGCTCCCTTCCCCAGCGCACCCCAACCCAGGGGCTGTACCCTGGTCTCCCGCGCTGCAGGTGGATTCTTCACCAGCTGAGGCACCACGGAAGCCCTGGGTCCCTTAGAATTACTTGAAAAAGCCTTCCCAGGAACAGCCTTCTAATTTCTTTTCATAAAAAGACTTTAAGAAAGGCTCTAGACAAATTAGCACACAAAGAAAAATTTACATGAAAAAAGTAACACTCTAAACCACAAATAAAACCTGACTCCGGGGAAATGTACCTATCAGAGATGCTCTGGAGATGCAAAACCAGTCTTTTCAGATAAACATGATTATAAGCCACTAGGGTTCTAAGGTTGTTCTTCAGGTAGTCTAACTACAGAAAAACTGATACATAAGCACAAGTGAAGTGAAAGTGAAAGGCACTCAGTCGTGTCCTACTGTGTGTGACCCCATGGACCATACAGTCCATGGGATTCTCCAGGCCAGGACACTGGAGTGGGTAGCCTTTCCCTTCTGCAGGGGATCTTCCCGACCCAGGATCGAACCCAGGTCTCCTGCAATGCAGGCGGATTCTTTACCAGCTGAGCCACCAGGGGAGCCCATGTAAGTGCCAAGGAAGGAGAGAAACAGAGAAAGCGGATTCCACGTAGGACTGAGGAGTGGGCTCCAGGGGCTTGGGGCAGAGGGGGCGGCTGCCTTTCCGGAAGTCTGTGACAATGAGCGGAGCGAAGCAGCTGAAGGGGAACCCAGGCGGGAAAAGACAAAAGGAAAGCTGTCCTGGCCATGTCCTGTTTGCCTTTTGCCCAGGCCCGCTCTGCACTCTCTGCCGACATCGCCCAGCGAGGCGGCCCTGTGTGGTCTCACCCCAGCGACGCTGCCCTCTCGCCCAGTAGAGACGAAACAAGGGTGGCTCCAGTGGAAAACACAGCGAAAGAGAAAGAGGCGGGGTGTCTATTCTGTGTTGCTCCGGTCCGCCGAGTCAGTGTGGGCGGGAGTGAATACTGCTCCTGCAAGTCTGCTCCACCCGGGCCTGTTTTAGCGGACCAGCACAGCCGGGCTCCAGGAACCTCTTCTCTCCCTGCCCCACGGCCTGTGTCTACTCACCCCCTGCAGCTGATCCCTGAGGCCTTCACAGTCCCCTCCTGGATCCTCAGACTATCTGTGTATCTGTGTATTCCTGCTAGACCTCTGAGTACGCATGTATGGATGTGAAAGTTGGACCATGAAAAAGGCTGAAGAATTGATGCTTTTGAACTGTGGTGTGGAGAAGACTCTTGAGAGTCCCTTGGACTGCAAGGAGATCCAACCAGCGCATCCTAAAGGGGACCAGCCCTGGGTGTTCACTGGAGGGACTGAAGTATCGGACATGACTAAGCACTCAACACATACACATGCTGAAGCTCCTGTATTTGACCACCAGATGCAAAGAGCTGGCTCATTGAAAAAGACTCTGATGCTGGGAAAGATGGGGGACAAGAGGAGCAGAGGGCATCAGAAGATGAGATGGTTGGATGGCATCACTGACTCAATGGACGTGAGTTTGAGCAAGCTCCGTGAGACGGTGGAGGACAGAGGAGCCTGGTGTGCTGTGGTCCACGGGGTTGCAAAGTATTGGACATGACTCAGTGACCGAAACAGCAGTCCTCCAAGTAGTGCTACACGAATATCGTCATTACTATTCTTAATTATGGGAAAGAGGGCCTGTGAGAACTGGCTTCTTATGACTGGACATAGAGGGTGAGTTCACACTCTCTCCATTGTAACAGATATGCACAAAGTGCTACACAGCTAGTCTGCAGAACACTGAAATATCCAGAACCCAAAATGCCACAGTAAACCATGAGTGGAAGCGTGTTTACCTTCTTGATGAACATGGGAAGGGCCACCGGGCAGCTCGTTGCCAGCCACGCACAGCTGGGCTTTCACAGTGAGCAAGACCCCAGATGGCATCCCAGTCAGCTTGGCTGTCCATACATTGCAAGGATACTGGCCAGGCTTCCCTTCCAGAAGCAGGAGAATGACCCACTATCCCCACTAGGGGTTTGGGCCAAATATCAAAATGTACAGTGTGCCCATAGGATCTGAATCTAGGGAGCTCATGAAATTAAAAATGCTTGTTCCTTGGAAGAAAAGCTATGACAACCCTAGATAGCATATTAAAAAGCAGAGACATCACTTTGCTGACAAATTTCTGTATAATCAAAGCTATGGTTTTTCCAGTTGTCATGAATGGATGTGAGAGTTGGACTATAAAGGAAGCTGAGTGCTGAAGAACTGATGCTTTTGAACTATGCTGTTGGAGAAGACTCTTGAGAGTCCCTTGGACTGCAAGGAGATCCAACCAGTCCATCCTAAAGGAAATCAGTCCTGAATATTCATTGGAAGGACTGATGCTGAAGCTCCAATAGTTTGGCCACCTGATGTGAAGAACTGACTCCTTGAAAAAGACCCTGATGCTGGGAAAGATTGAGGGCAGGAGAAGGGGACAAAAGAGGATGAGATCGTTGGATGGCATCACTGACTCGATGGACATGAGTCTGAGCAAGCTCTGGCAGTCTGTGTAGGACAGAGAAGCCTGGTATGCTGCAGTCCATGGGGTCATGAAGAGTTGAACACGCCTGAGCAACTGAACAACAACAGCATGCTCAGAGATGGCTTTTTCAGGAAAATGACACGATCTTCCTTGAGGATTGTTAGAGTGAAGTAGAAGTTATGAGACCGTGAGTATCAACAACAGTAAGATGGAAAAGAAAAGCTGTGACAGAACTCGTCTTAAGTCTATATATTTAATTATGTGGTGCCTAGGCATAGGCCCAAGTCCACTGAATGCAAAATTCCTTCTTCTTTACTCTGTACTTCTAAATACCTGTGCATGTATGAATAGACACACGCTGCATATGTATTGTTGCTGTTTAGTCACTCAGTCGTGTCCAACTCTGCAACCCCACGCACTGCAGCTCGCCAGGCTTCCCTGTCCTTCGCCATCTCCCAGAGTTTGCTCAAACGCATGTCCATTGAGTCGATGATGCCATCCAACCATTTCATCCTCTGTCATCCCTTTCACATCCTGCCCTCAATCTTTCCCAGCATCAGGGTCTTTTCCAAGGAGTTGGCTCTTCACATGAGCCAATACATTTGTATAAATACATATATATTTCAAAATCAAATATTGATTTATTTATTGAACACCTATTGAGAGTCTATTCTGTGCAAAATACTGCACTCCATCTGCTGGCACAGACAAGACTGGCACAGGCCCTGGAGCACGGCCACTGTTTAGCAAACAGCAGGCTCGGGCACTCCTTCTTACGCTGCTGCGTGGGCGAGGAACACGTGGGGACCGCAGCTTTCCCGCTTGTCATCCCACCTCCCCGAACTGTGAAGTCAGGAGCGGAAGATACATGCTATTTCTCTTAATCCTGCACTGCCTTTCGTCAGGGCCTGATTTGTTTTTTTTGCTGGAGGACTAGCTGGTTATTCACCCTGAGAGTTAAGCTTTTGAACACTCACTCCAAGCTAGACAGCCACTGAACGAAGACTCATGCATGTATTATGATGTTTGCTGATTTCAGGCGTGATCTGGGAGGTAGGATGATGAACCAGCCATGTAATTATGATTACACGCTTCGTTAATTCCAAACGTCATTTACCCTGTGTTGTGTAATATGTAAAATAAGTTAAACTGACTCCCTCCCACCCTGCTAATCTCCACTCCCGCCCCTCTCGTGTTCATAAACTTCTAGAGGGAACGTTTCATGTGGATTCTGTATTCAGGATAAATCCAAGCATCTGACAGCCCCCAAGTGTTGGCTCTTCGCTGAGAGCGGCCTGCGTGGGGCTCTCTGCCCACTAATGAACGCCTACATCACGCGGTGCTCGGAGAGGCTGTCCAGGACGACTTCATACGAGCTAGACAGAACCAAAACTACTGCAACGGAACAAAGACAGCCCGTTTCCAAATGTCCTTCCTCAAAATAAAATAAAATGAGGTCCAGACTTAGAAACGGGAACATTTCACAGCGAGGAGGGAGAGCGGCCGGCAGTTCTCGGGCGCTGG